TGAGGGAATTGATTAGTGGTGACATACAAGCTGTGTTCCTTTCACCCCATGTAACATCTCTCATCCAACCCTAGACCAAAACGTTATATAAGGAATGAAGAGGAATTATAGGCGGAAGCTTCTTCAGGTACTATCTATCTATCTATCTAATCAGCCTTAGACGCCCATTCTTGGGCATAGGCCTCCCCTGTTAATCTCCATTGGTCTCTATTTTGGGCGATCTACATCCAGTCCTTTCCTGCCTTTCTCTTAAGATCGTCAGTCCATATCATCTGTGGTCTTCCTCTTTTTCTTTTCTTTTCCCATGGTCTCCAGTGTAGAATTCGCTTATTCCATCTTTCATCTTTTTGCCGGAGAGTGTAACCGGCGAAGTTCCATTTAAGTTTTACAACCTGTCTTGATACATCGTTCACCTTTGTTTTTTCTCTGATCCATGAGTTTCTTTTCCTTTCTTTAAGACCGATACCCAGCATCTGTCTTTCCATTGCTCTTTGTGTTTTGGATACCCTGTCGATGTTTTCCTTTGTAAAAGTCCATGTTTGTGAGCCATATGTGATAACTGGTAAAATGCACTGGTTGAATACTTTCGTTCGCATATATTTAGGGAACTTTTTATTTTTTAGAATATATGATAGTTTACCAAATGAGGCCCATGCTAGTCTAGTTTTTCTTTTTATTTCTTCTGTTTGATTGTCCCTGTTCAGCTTTATTATCTGTTCTAGGTATATGTATTCTGCCACCTGCTCTAATTTATTCTGTTTGACTACTATTTCTAATTGGTCTTCTTGGTTTGTCATAGTCTTGGTTTTACTATAGTTCATCTCTAGACCTATCTCTGTCGCTTTTCTCTCTAGTTGCTCAACCATCTTCTGTAACTCTTCCTTCTTATCTATTATCAGGACTATATCGTCTGCATATCTCAAGGTACTCTGCATATCTTCAGCCACTGCTAACTATAAACTGGATGAAGGGCTGACTGTAATTGAGGCATTGAAGAAGATCACGGTTAAAGATGTTTGCTATTGGATTGCATCTGCCTGGGACGACGTAAAAATGTCCACTACTCAGAAGTTGTAGAAAAAATTATTTAAGATAGACAACAAAACACAAGACGTTCAAAATGAAACTGATGACTGTAAAGTTGATTCTATAGCTCACCTAGCCAATCAATTACTAGTAGAACAAACAATCGTAAACCAAGACATCATCGATTGGAGGAATCTAAATGAAGAAGTGGAACTGACAGATGATACAATTGCCAATCTAGGTCTAAACGTCACCCATGAAGAAGAAGAAGAAGAAGATACAGATGGGATAACTCAAAAGATTTCTCGTTCCGAAGGATTTAAGTCCCTTGAAGCAGCTCTCGTATATATTGAGCAACAAGAAGAATCAACACCATTAGACGTCCTTCATTTTCAACGTTGGCGCAACATCGCCGCCCCAAAAAGAGGAATGAAGTTGAAACAAAAATCAATCAAAGACTTTTTTAAAACATTTATAAATTAATTTTTTTTATCTTTTATACTACTTTTATATCAGTTTTTAGTTATTAAAATAAACACATTAATCATTATTAACATAGGTACACATTTTTCTATCAGTATAACCAATCTCAGTGACAGAGTTCTTTCGGTATCCGAGGTAGTCACGGTCCCAATTACCTCAGATAATCGCAAGTCTACTGTACAAAAAGCTTAATTTTGTATCAAATTACACAAGTGTGATTTTATTTTAATACAGTTTCATAAATTCGACTAACTGTATCTATGCATACTATGCAATTCTAATATTATTATTAATATGAAAGATGATACTACATTCCCAGACGACATAAATTTTAATTGCCTTACACTTACACCAGCAATCAGCTGGATGTGCTGATTAGGGATTTTTGTTACTTGACCTTGTATAAACAAAACGTTCATTCATTTGGAGGTATTTTATTACTCATATTTCAGGCGACAAGTCTGAATTATTTATCTACCCAAAAACATTTATTTCAAACTGAAAAGAAATTTGCAATTATTTGAAAAACAGGTAAATAATGATCAAAAAGGGATTATGGTAATTGGATCGACTATTTATGTATAACAGTATTTATAAGAAATCTAAAATATATAACATTAATTATTATTAATAATATATTTATAATAATTATTATAATATATAACAATTTTTTCATATCGAATGTCAACAGGGGAAGTGTTTTCCTCAGAAAATTTCAGATTTTCATCTCGTTTCTAATTATGACTCAAGTAAATATTAAAGTAAATATCAATAATCTTATTTTCTTCCGGAAATAATTAATCGACAAAATTTAATCGATCATTACATAATATTGTTTTGTCTATAAAAATTAAATTTGTTAAAAATTTAATAAAACGAATTGTTTTTATGTTTATATATTATGTAAAAACCAGTATAATCCCGCAGTAAACTTTACTGACCATAGTTTGACTTTCAACCACGATTATATAACGTCAGGGTGCCAAGGAAAAAAATGGTATACTTGTATATTTAAGACATTGTTCCCTTATACAATCATGATTTTACATAGAAAGAAAGTCAAACGAAGCCACAATATTAACTACTGGGAGGGGCCGCCTTGCTAACAAAACCACGTGATTCGTTACTATAGTTACTGCATAACTCATAGACAATTGGAATAACCACAAAACTAGTTTTCAATGTTTTGCAGATTTTTCTTAAATTCGGCAAACGCGCATGTATCGCTATTTAATACATCAGTGCTGCCTTCTACTAAATGACACGTGAACTTATTTTCTTATCTGTTAAGTGATAGCTGAACTAATTTCTCACTATCAAAATGCCAACTTATTACGGTAACATCAACAAAATCCCTAGTTTGCAGCTTCTAATTGTAATTTTATCTTTAGGTACAGTTAATTTAAAAATTACGGCAGTATGGATAACAAACATTTGCTTAAAATAAAGGTTTTTGGATAGTTAATCATTTAACGTAGTTATTTTGCACCTAAGTTCAATAATTATTTCACAATACCAATTTTTAGGCACGTTACCACGTAAGTTATGACATGGATGCATTTAAGTACAGTTATGAAAAAAATACTGCTGTTTTTGAAAATGTTAACTAGATATCATTAAAATAGAAGGTTTATAGTTTACGTACATAACCATAACTTGAAGATCTGTTTTGAAATAGTGACGATAACTGTACCTAAAAAGTATATAAATTTTAACATTGTGACATACCACCTTAACTTAAAGAAATACACAATAATATGTTTCATTTAATTTGTATAAATGCATTATAAAGCGTTTTTATGAAGAACATTTGTTTGGAACACACTGTAAACTGTAATCGAACGAAGGTGAAATTTTGGCATAAATTGGTAACACTTATTTGACAGTTTCGGTGTTGACACTTTTTGTACTTTATTATTTTGGATTTTAAAGTGAATACCTCTTGTTTTATATTTTTACCGATTTAATAAAATGTGTTCTTTTTAAAACAAAATTAGTGTGTTTTATTTCAAAAATGTCACATAAGAATTTAAATAGTCGTTGTAAACAGATGGTAATACTTTTGCAATAATTATGTGACCTATTTGATTTAAAATGGAGAGAGGATTTTTTTATACTTTGGCAACTATGTCAACTTCGATCTCTGACGTAGAGAATAACGTGCAACGGTATGTAAATTAGATGAAGTATATGTATATATTAAATGTCTATTAGTTCCATCGAAATGCTCCAATGCTCCAAATTATAAAATTTTTCCATGCTCCAAAATTTATTCTAAAAAGTACTATTGGTTTTTTTACAATAATTCGGTTAATTTTGATGCTACAACATGCACTAAAAAACGATTTTACAGGTAATTTAACGGGCTATAAGTACAGGAATGTTAAAACATTCTAAAGTCCTTCATGTTTAAAGGGTGAAGGGTCAAAGGGTCGGTGGTTAATGCGCTATAAAGAAAGCTTCAACCAACTATATCTCCGTTATTTTTTAAGCTACAAAAAAAATTTAAAAATTAAAATTTTTGCTGAAAAAAAAACCTATTTTTTGTATTGTGTCATCTTTTACGTATCTTTTATAGTTTTGAAGTTATTATAAAAAAAAGATTTTTTTACTATTTCCAAAAAAAAATGTAATCATACTTTTTTTTAAACTGGGTATTCTAAAGTGGCTAAACTTTTGAATCATACAAAAAACACTAAAATAAAGTGAATTCTATAAGGAAAACAATTTATTTCAATCCTAGAGAACATGACGATAGTTTTATTGCGTTTTTTTTACAAAAATTTGAGAAACCCATCGTTTTTTTGATCGTATAAACAAAAACAAACCTTTGAATAGCCATAACTCAGTTAATATTGAACTGAAAATATTCATTAAAAAGCCAATCTCTTTGTTTTTTTATGAGCTTTATTTTTAGTCGTTACACTTTTTTTGATAAAACTCTTAGTTTCAGAGCTATTCTTTAAAAACCTTTGAAAACATGTTTTTTTAACGAAAAATGACACTTTTCAACAACGAATAACTCAAAAAGTATTGATCTAGCGAACAAAATGAGTCCATAATACTAGTATATGGAAAAATTAGTCAATACTCACAATTTTCAGGTTTTTTTTTTATTTATTAAACTTGGTGAATTTTGTGCTACCGGTTTCAAGGCTTACAATATTTGCCCCATTATAAAGCCCCAGTATCAGTCAAATTGAGTGAGCAGCTGCTCACTCAATATTAATAAAGTCGTTCTCAATAATCTACTTCAGCTTTTAGTGCGCTGTCACTTTCACATCAGACAGCAGTGTGAGCAGTAAGTATAAAAAATTTTTATTTATAAATGTTTTTCGGGGCCCATTCCCCGCTTTATTAATTTTTTTATTCTGATTTATTTTGATTGAAAAATTAGTAGTACAATGTATGTATCTTTTCTTAGAAAAGAAGAAGGTGACAAGAAGAATCCAGCTAGCATCCTAAAGGTATTTTATAATAAATCAAACACTGGCACCAATAAACTTTATTTAAGAACACAGAATTACAGTTGCTGTTTGCAAGATTTTCTTACAATCTGAGGAGCAAAATCAGATCTAGTAGCCCGATTTAGTAGATCGGCATAAAGATCTAACCTTTGTGACATCTGAAATAAAAAATGTTATTTACTACCAAAAATTAAGTAAGTATATAGTGATCTTACCTGAAATCCCCATTGGTCCTTTACTTGTCGACAGAGATTTAAATCCATTTCAGCAATAAGGATGCCGTTCTTAGTTCTGGATAGTCCCTAAAGATTAAGATTAAGCAATTAAAATTTTATGCAGTTTAAATATTTGGTCATAACAAATAAAATATTGATTTCGATTGGTACTAGCGTCATTAAAACCCTATAGAGGGTAGATTGCACGTTCGTGTGGTTTTCAGGATTATCCAATAATAATGAGAAAACTATTTTCCTCTGAATTTGTTGTTTACTTGTACCAAATAAGTTCTATGGGATTGAAAATGCAAAAATAAGATGGTAACCTTAAAACAGTATGGCCAATCGTGTCCACTATAATATTGTTTGCAATAAGTTTTAGTAGGAAGCACTTCAAGTAATTGTTTGTTATATAGTTGTCTTTAAAATACAAATCATTATCTGAGAGAAAATCTTGTAGTTTGTGTTTTGAAGACGAATAGTTCGGAATTTTTTTCAGAAGTCTTAAGTGATAGCTGGCATTGTCCATAATGATAACAATGCTGGGTGTTATATTAGGAAGTAATGTTTTCTTAAACCACACTTCGAATATATTAACATTCATATGCTGATGATAATCTACACTAAAGTTTTTCTATTTTTTTCTCCACAAAGTTTTAACCTTTTATTCTCGATATTCATGAAGTTTTTCTAAATAATATAAACGTCCTCTTAAGGATAGTACATTGGAAAGTAGAAGAAGAACACAGACGAAATCAAAGTAAAAATTTCTACAGAGAGGTAAGACAACATTAGAGACACTCTTATATAAGCACACCCAACTCCGTAAGAGATAAAAATGGAGAAATGCTGGCTGCCGAAAACAAAATAATAGAAAGATGGGCTGAATCTTTTAAAGAGCTCCTGAATATCCAAAATTTCACTGATAAAACAGTGAAAATGGTGGAAACAACGGAGAACATGAGTATCAAACCGTCGAATTAGAAAAACCCCCACCAAGCATGGAAGAAATTACGCATGCCATAAAAACGCTTAAAAACGATAAATCCCCTGGTCTGGACAATATTGATGCCGAGCTAATTAAAACAGGCAGTCATAAACTCATAAGTAAAATCCATCAATTAATAGAAATGACCTGGTAACAAGAAATAATGCCGAAAGAATGGTGTGGTAGTATTATTGTACCAATACGCAAGAAAGGAAAAAAGGAGTCATGCATGAATTACAGAGGAATCTCACTAATCAATACTACATATAAAATATTGGCATAGTTGGTGACTACCAGTGTGGTTTCAGGCCTGGCAGATCGACTATTGATCAAATATTTACAATAAGACAAATGCTTGAAAAGTATTGGGAATATAATCAAGACGTTCATCCGATTTTTATATACTTCAAACAGGCTTATGATTCAATTAATCGTGCAACATTATGGAAGGCAATGATCGAGCTTAGCATACCCAAGAAATTAGCTGCGGTAACACAAATGTGTGTAAGTAGCTCTTTTGCATAAGTTAGAATAGGGGGGGGGGAATATCAAATACTTTCTGCGTAAATTCTGGACTGAGACAGGGAAATCCATTGTCCCCATTGTTGTTTAACCTGGCCTTAGAATATGTAATGCGAAAAATATATCCAAAAATAAAAACAGACATAACTGCTCGGGTAGCAAAAATTATACCCGCCTTTGCCGATGACGTAGACGCAGTAGCACAATCAACATTAGAAATTAAGGATATTTTTTCGGGCTTTGAAAAAGCTGCATTAAACATCGGTCTATCGGTAAAATAAATGAAGACAAAACAAAATACATGATCGTCTCAAAACAAGAACGACGGCGAATAAGGCAAAACATTACTATAACTGATCACAACTTCGAAGTGGTTAAAGAATTTAAATATCTAGGAGCAACAATCACAAATGACAACAAATTAGAGCGAGAAGTGGAAACGAGAATAATGGCACAGAATAATAAACAATCAGAATGCCCATTCTTCATGGAAAATTCAGTACGCGCATCTCGTTCGCGCAGACGTTCCGCCATGTTTTAATGGGAACCAGTGTTGTTTATGTGGGTACATAGAAAAATTTACCCCGTTTAATTGACTTACGGCAATCATAAACCTACTATACAATTATATTAACATTGTTAATATAAATAATATAAATAATAACATAACCTCACAAATCATATGTCTTTGTTGTGTGTTTCCTTCTAAAACATGGCGCGCATGCTGAAAAACTTCAAAGGCAGCATCTGAGAGTGGGCATTCTGATTGTTTATTATTCTGTGATAATGGCAGGAAACAGATCTTTCTTTGCAATGCAACATCTAATGAAGTCAAATCTTCTTTCACGAGGTACAAAAATCCGAATATATAAGACCATAATACGACCAGCACTCGCGTATGGAAGCGAAACATGGACGCTAACAAAAAGAGAAGTAAATAAATTGCTGGTGTGGGAACGTAAATTCTTCGAATTCTTGGCCCTTGCAGAGGCAGCGTGACCAACGAATGGCGGGGCAGATACAATAACGAGCTAGAGTCTGTATTTGGAAATGAAAATCTAGTCAGATATATAAAGGCCAATATACTCAGATGGGCAGAATATGTGATATGCAGTAACGACAATCGCCTTATAAACAATGTGTTCTGGGAAAGGCCAGATGGAAGACAATCTGTAGGGCGGCCTAGAAAAAGGTGGAAAGATGCAGTCAGAGAAGATCTAGAGAAGATGGGAGTGTGACAATAGGAATTACTGGCACAGGACCGACAAACATGGAAGGCAATGGTAAACGCATCAAAGACTCACGAAGAGTTGTAGCTCCATTGATGATGATGATGACTATCCTCTTACTTTCGATAATAGTCTATTGTTTATCAACAATTTTGTTTTTACATTCAAGTTTCAGCCGTCTACGTAAAGTAGTTTCATGACAGGTTCTTCCCATCACAACAAGCTTGGTGTATATAATATCAATTTTTATTGGTATGTATTACAGTTTTTTCGTATTCCTTGTAAACCAAACTAACTAAACATTTAGCAGTCGTGATATTGGATGTTTAGGTTTTCCAGCATCCGATCTTGTTTTTCTCTTTTTAACGCCTGTAGCGTTACACACAGTCTTCACAATGTAGCGCATTATGATACCTTGCAACTATTTTCAGGATCAATTTGCAGATTTTTGTAAACGTTCATACAAATTTTCTTGGATTGTTCATTTAAAACAATATTTTTGTTCTTTTCTATAGTTCCAGTCTCAGTATCGTTGTTTTTTATATCACTTAAATGATTGTCTATCATTACATTTTCTCTACTACTACTTGAGTTCTCGTTTCTTTTGCTCCCATGGACGAAAACCTGTATGTGATTTTTCCATGGTCTAAACCTTTTCTTTATACACAGATAGACATTTTGAAAAAATAAACAACAAAAAAGTAATACAATTATAACGAAATCAAAACAACGAAATTTCAGCACACTAAAAATTGAAGCAATGCTCATCTTCTCGTATTTATAAACAACTTCGTTGCAAAGACAACAATTAAACGAAAAATTTGCATGTCCAGTTTCTTTAAAGATAAATACTTGCCGGTATTTTAACAAAACTAAAAGTAAACATTTACATATTAGTACAGCTATATTCATCAAGGAAAATTAAACTTTTTCTACTTTGAAGGACAAAAAAAAAGCAAGTTTATTGGAGGAACTGAATTCAAAATTATTCTGCATAGGTATATTATATTTTAAGCATTATTTGTATAAAACATCTCATTTTTGGTGGTAATAATAGTATTTACTATAACTTAATAAAAAAGATTAGCTGTAAGTTATGTTACAATAACAATGAAAAACTAGGTCAATTATGCTTAATATTTTAATTCTTACCTATTGGCACTGGTAGCCAAAAACACTAATGCAAATAGGTAGGGCTTAAAATCAGACATCTTATACTGAATTTACAATATTGTGTTACAATCAACAATAACATATGCATCTGTCGTATGATAGCCAAATGTGCACCATAAAATTATTTTTGTCAAATTGAGCAGGGCGAAATAATTTAATTGCTTTGAAATTTCAGGGATCTGAGGGGCACATCATCAGTGGCTATGGAGATCGTGAGTAGCCTACTGGATTTTCCTCCTCTATACATCGTTGCAAAGGGAAAATGGGATATTATAGATTGAAATAAAATCTGAGCAACGTAGTGGTTAGAACAGGACATAGCAACATAATCAAGGAATTTGAGAAGGAAGGCTGAGGAGTCCAGTATTTCATTGCAAGTGGTGGCATGAATGATGATATACCCAAATATAAGTCCAAAGTACCTTCTCAGGCGGACATCCGCGCACGAGACAGATGATACTGAGGTAGCACATCTCTAGGTTGAAGGGTTACACCTGGTACACGGATGGATCTAAAGAGGGTTAACTTTGAACTTCGGCAGATCAATAGATGCACAGATAATCAAGCGGATATATGAACTTTAAAGTAGACCAAGATAGTCGTTAAGCTAAAATGAGAATGCCTAGAAGAACTAGAAAGGCTAGCGGAACATAATTATCACACCCATATGGGTGCCAGTTTATAGGAAAACATGCGGCAACGAAAGAACTGATAGTTGCTAAAAGAGCATTAGCTTCAAAATACTTCGGTCCACAGCCAGCCTTAGCAGTTCCAAAAGACACTGTCTGCGATCGGATGATAGCCTGAATAAGATTGCAACATAACAATCATTAGGAAAGTATACTTGGTTAAGCACATGACAAATTGTATATTTGACGGACATAAGGTAATAAAGTTAAAGTACTATGGAAAATAGGGGTGAATTAACTTTTGAGGGTATACAAGGCAACTACCGAACACGGTGATTAATTTAATCTTGCCCAAGTACTTTCGATCAATAGATCATCTTCAGAGGCATCTGAAATAAGCCAAGAAACGTTTTTTATAAAAAAGAAAATTAATTCACTTGGATAAAAAAACTCCAAGTTTATGGTTGAAAAAAATTTTATATGTGATAAACGTTTATAGACTTACTTCGTCAGTTGTGGCCTATCCGACATAGTAGAATGTCATAAATGTAAAATTTGGACATAACAATACAAAATACAATACACTAAGACAAACAAACACTTTAAAATTTATAAGGAGAAGCTACATGTTGTATAGGAGCCGGAGACAGAATGGGCTACCGGTCTGACGGAAATATAGAGATGACATGTGACAAATGACAGCTTGTGAAGGGCAGTTATGTGATCTGCACCTTTCAAAATTCTATGACACTAATTATTGACCGAAGGTCCAACTGACACCACTATAGGAAATCAACTGATGAAATATAAAATTATATAGTATATTTTTTATGTAGATTGAATAATCCCAATCTCACACTCAAACCTGTCTATAATAATTAGGATGTTAGTTTGAGAGCAATTGAAGTTGACATTAAGTATGAATGTGAGAAAAGACTAACAATATATTAGACAGTGGATGGTTGACTACAATAAAATGGTCCACCAAGCACTATCAGTACTGTAAAAAAGAAAAATCTGAATATGCAGTTAAATTACTAAAAGTTAAAATCTAAATTGAAGACAAAATATATAAATGGGTTATAGTCCACGTAGTTCAGTTGAATCCACAGTCAATGGAAGAACTTTAAAATTAATATTGAAATGCTCAGTGCATGAAGTCTAAACAGTCGAGCTGGGTCCTCTACGAGGTGAAGCTGTAATAAAGTTTTTAAATATAGGATTAAATTTAGTTCAATTTAAATTAATTTGAGTATTAAGACAGTGAGAGTTTTCATTTGTTTCCCTTCTAATCTCCAAATCTTCCAATAAATCCAACTCAAGATAGTTTTTTTTCTGCTAATGTCATGTAAGATAGATGAACCAGAATTGATGTTAAAAAATTGTGGTTGCTGGATACTAAGTAAAATCCACAAGGAAAAATTCCTGTAGCTGGCTGTATACCACGTATAACAAAAAGAGGTTAATCTTTGTAAATGGGTATATTTATTTAAAAAACCCTTATAGGATACTAAGTGTTGACCAAAACTTGAAGAATTTGGTCTTTTCAAATGTTCAGAGACTCTAGTGGATAACTTTCTGATGGTTCTACCTACATAAGAGGCATCACAATCATCACATTTTAATTTGTAAATACCACTTTTATCAAGTGTATTTATCCTATCTTTGGTATTGATTAAGAAGGAACCTAAAGTGTTATGTGATTTAAAGGAAATTTTGATGTTATCAATTGTAGAAGTAAAAAGTTTAGATATTTTATTGGAAATGCTACTAATATAAGTGAAGGAGAAATATCTGATGTTATCTGAAGCATTTGGTTGGAAAAACTGTGAAGAATATGCAAGCTTTTCTGCAATTTTTAGTTTAGCTCTATTTAGAAGTTTGTATATAATGTTGGGATCATAGCCATTATTGAAAGCAATCTGCTTAAGAGTATTAAGTTCTGTATAATGATGATAATTTTAATCATGAACAAAGTGTTTGTTTGTCTTAGTGTATTGTATTTTGTATTGTTATGTCCAAATTTTACATTTATGACATTCTACTCTGTCGGATAGGCCACAACTGACGAAGTAAGTCTATAAACGTTTATCACATATAAAATTTTTTTCAACCATAAACTTGGAGTTTTTTATTCAAGTGAATTAATTTTCTTTTTTATAAAAAACGTTTCTTGGCTTATTTCAGATGCCCCTGAAGATGATCTATTGATCGAAAGTACTTGGGCAAGATTAAATTAATCACCGTGTTCGATAGTTGCCTTGTATACCCTCAAAGTTTAATTATTCGAACATTCAACCTTATATTGATTATCATTATTATTTAATCTTCGCTTATCCACTGCTGAACATAGATCTTCCTTATAATTTTCTATCTGGTGGACGACCTCTCTCTGTTTCGGTAGGCATCATCCTTTGGCCTCTATTCTACTCTTCGCTTTATCCATCTGTTATCTGTCATTCGAGCAACGTGACCTGGAAAGTTACACTACAGTATTGCTATTCTCTATACAGCATTAGCTACGCCTGATCTTTGTCGTAGCTTGCGGTTTGGGATCTCGTCTAGTATTGAAACGCTCAGCATAGCACGCTTCATTGCCCTTTGAGCGACACAGATCTTTTTTACATATTGGTAAGTCGGACAATTTACAAAAGTGTGATTCAACTTGCCGAAGGCTACCCAAGTCAGTCTTATAGGACGGAGAAACTCAACGGTTTGGTTATCTTTTCCTATGCGAATCTCATGACCTAGATATTTATATGCCATTACCTGGTCTACGGATCTTGTTCCTAGGCATATATCTTCGCTGACTAAAAGATTTGTATCGTATTACAATCCCTCTTCCAGCGAGGAAAGGTAAAGCTGATTTAAAAGTTATTTGGCTTTATCTATCCTATCAGATATTAGCACAATATCATCTGCAAACCTCAGGTGGCTAAGCTTTTCTCCATTTATGTTTATGCCCTCCTCGCTCAGTGTTGCCCTTTTACATATATATTCCAAAAGGCAGTGAACAGTTTCGGGGATATGGTGTCCCCCTGACGTACTCTATGTTGTATCGGGAATTTCTGAGTTTGATGGTTACCCACTTTAACACTAGGTGTTGCGTTTTGGTATATTTGTTTAATTATATTTATATTCCCGATAGTCACTTCGGCATTCTGTCAAGGCCTTCAACATTTTTTGTCGATTAATGGTGTCAAAAGTTTTTTCATAATCCACAAATATTAAAGCTAGTTGTTTATTATATTTAAACTTAAGGAACACTTGCACATAATGATACAAAGAAACTTCTTTATAGACACGAACTCAGACTCTGTAATATAGAACCTATGGAAATCATAGGAGACGTGTACAAGCTAGTAACTACATGGTTCCAGACTTCTGTAAGTTGTAATACGGATAAAAGGAAGATTTTAATAAACCAATTGGTTGTACTAAGACTGTTGTATAATAGACCACTTCCAGGCAAAAAATATCGTTTACCACGAATGAAGTATATCTTAATGAAAGTCTTTACCACCATTTTCTTACTTTCACGAATGTATCTAAGCTTATCATGGCGTAGTCTTTATTCCCAGATATCTGTGTAAGTACATTCAAAGAATGAAGAATATCTCTCCAGTGCTTAATTCATTTCTGAATCTCACCTGCATAATACTAATATTGCATTGGTTTGTAACTTTGAATAAATTCAGTTTCAGATTTTTGATTTTTAAAAATATATGTACTAGTTGGCTTATTCCCACTGTTTCCAAACTTGAGCAGCCATTCTTGGTAAATAATACATATGTTATATATTACATCCAATGAATTTAGTATACCTAGTCATAATTCATGAGCTTTGTAGGGATCAGTAATTGCTAGTTATACTTCGTTTTCTATGATTTTGCTATTTCTGTGACACGTTTTGTTTCTGTTTTTCCCAAATTATCTTATTTATTCATCCCATATTTTCTTTTTTGAATCTCTAATAATTTTTTCTTGTCTATATTTAAGGAATATTTCCCTTTCTGTGTAAATTTTCCTTTGGTTTTCTGTCACATCTCTTCTTTGTTATATATATTTTAATGTCTCCCATAGTTCCCTTTTTCTACGGCTTTTTCTTTAATTCATCATCGATTGGGTTTTGTATTGATTTCTATCTCTACATAATATTTCTCTATATTTATGTATGTGATTCTTGATTATTCTTCCTTCTTCATTAGTCTTTGTATATCCGACCTTATCCCTCTTTGTGATGCAAATCTAAGTGTCTGTTTTAATGATGGCATCCCCAAGAATGTTTTGGAAGCAAAAATTGCTCTGTTCGGATTTTTAGATGAGGAGTATCGTGAGGAAACATCATTACAAGTTAGAAAAATCAGAATAGAATCTTGGAATCAGGCTGTCATAGATCGGCTGTTGATCTTAAACATTTTTATCTTCTAAAGTTGCAGGCTATTCATACATTTTTAAACGTTTGACATATAAACATAAATTTTTAGCATACTCCACCTAGATTGTAGAACATAATACTAAAAAAAATATTTGTAACATCTGAATTGCTAAATATTCCATTTAGTCTCACATACAGTAAGAAAAAAATGATTATTGCATATAATTGTTGTCATATGAGCTGAAAGTATTGCTGCAAAATTAGTATAAGTATTATTTATTCAAATCCAAACGGTTTAGTATTATTTTCCAGGGATATCTGTAACCATTTAGATGTAGAATACCTACACTTATATCTACTTTGATATCTTACTGTATAGAATAATTGATTATTATCACAAACCTCTAAAAGAAAAGTGGTTAGTACTAGTTACTCGCACTCGTCGTTAAGTGAGTCCAAAAAACAATAATACTTACAGGAGACCTGGTACCATTTGGTGCAGTAACATAACTTGATCCGAAATAGTAATCACTTTCTCGATGAGGGGATTTCCCGTCTCCGGTAGTAAAATCATTCTCAAACACTTCGGTACCTACTCGGTTTACAGCACAAGTAAAATATCCGTTGGCTATGGCGGCACTTCTTGGTTCGATGGACCAAAGAGGTTCAGTACCAGATCCACCCTAAATAAAAGTTAAAAAACGTTATTTTCTGATATTACAAAGTTCAAAAAGTTCCAAAATCTAGATATTAATACCAATAAGGGGATACAGAAAGTCATTATATTCCAAGTTCTATAAAGAAAGTTAAGGGGAAAATAATTTTACCAATTACATAACATTATTAAAACATTTAAAACTCAACATCACTAGACTTGCGATGAAAATAAAGAATCCATATAAAGTGGCTACATGAAATGTAACAACCTTAAATGAAGCCGGTAAGTTAAGAAATCTACTCTCTGAAATGGACAGACTAAACATTATTATCATGGGGGCGAGTGAAACAAGATGGCCAAACAAAGGTAATTTCATTGCAAATGGTTACGCCGTTTATTTTTCTGGAAATCAAGACCATATGCATCGAAATGGAGTAGCAATAATTATCAATTATCAAACAGCATATTAATAAGTATGTCACTAACTTCATCCCAATATCAGACAGAATAATTTTAATACAGCTGAATGCTAAACCTGTAAATATAACTATCATCCAAGTTTATGCTCCCACTGCTGACGCAGATGAGCAGAATATTGAAGAATTCTACCATCAAATAGAAGAAGTGCTAGAAATAACAAAGAAACACAAAGCAATAATAATTATGGGTGACTTTAACGCTAAAGTTGGACTGAAGATGACGCAGGGCATCACCGAAGAGTTTGGCTTGGGAAAGAGAAATCAAAGAGGTGAACGTCTAATAGAATTCTGCCAAGAAAATGACTTCGCCATAACAAATACTTGGTTTCAACTTCCAGAAAGGCATCTTTACACGTGGAAATCCCCTCAAAATGGACATCAAGGCAGAATAGTACGGAATCAAATAGACTACATCCTAATAAACCACCGATTTCGAAACAATATTAAAGATGTAAAAACTTACCCCGGAGCTGACATAAACTCAAATCACAATTTACTCTGCTCCAAAATACAAATTTAATTAAAGAAATTAACGAAGCCAACTAAGCCTTGTAAGATAATAGTAAAATACACAGAATATCAAATATACCAAACGAAAACAGAACCATTAACGAATGCTGGTATGACATTCAAAACTCGATTTTAGAGAACGTACAAGAGTCTTTAAAAACACCTACCATGTTGGCAAAAAATGAGTGGATGACACAAGAAATTCTAGACCTGATGGAAGTTCGACGGCAACACATAAATAGAAATATTATTGAATACCGTGAAATCAATAAACGCATAAAAAGAAAAATTAAGCAAGCCAAAGAATCCTGGCTTGAGAATTTATGTAAAGAAATAGAAGACCTCCAAAAAAAAGCATGAAAGTTTCAACCTCCACAAGAAACTTCAATATACTGCCGGAATTAGAAAACAGAAAAATGCTCACATACTTAAAAGCGCTGACGGAAAAATTTGTGATCACGAACAACAGTGCAAAGAATGGGAGAGATACATCACTGACCTTTTTGACGATGCTTCTAGAGAAAATGTTCCAAATATTGCACAGCAGTGCGTAACCAGATAGACAGAGGTCCCAGAATACTGATTTCGGAAGTCAAAAAGGCAATACAGCAAGCCACAAATAAAAAAGCACCTGGACCAGATCAAATCTTTGCTGAGCTACTTAAACTTTTGGATGAGGAAAGCATTACCTGCTTAACCACTTTCTTCAACAAAATTTACAACGAAGGAAAAATACCAGATGATTGGTTAGAGTCACCGTTTATAACATTACCAAAGAAAAGCAGGCCCACCAAATGCAGCGATTTTAGACTAATCAGTTTGTTGAGTCACATACTGAAGATACACTTACGAATTATACAAAACCGAGTATTCCTTCTATGCGAAAGTAGGATGGGTGATAAGCAATTTGGATTTAACAACGGTCTAGGAACTAGAGAGGCACTATTCTGTATGCGCGTTCTATTACAAAAAAGTTGTGAATTCCGAAAGAATGTTTATGTTTGTTCTATCGACTTCGAGAAGGCGTTCGACAGAGTACAACACGATACACTTTTCGATTGCCTACGGGCAGCAGGACTTGACCACTATGATATAAGACTGCTGAAATACTTATATTACAATCAAGTAGCCTCTATCCAAATTGGAGACAGTCCGACTGAAAAACTATCCATCAAACGTGGAGTAGGGTTGTGTTTTGTCACCCACTCTTTTTAATCTGTACTCTGAAGAAATCTTTAGGGAGGCTTTGGATGACAGACAAGAGGGAGTAAGACTAGGTGGAGAAGTAATCAACAATATTAGATACGCTGACGATACAGCCATTCTTGCAGAAAATTTACAAGATCTCCAAACATTACTAAATCTAGTCAGTAAAGCAAGTTTTCGGAGAGGCCTTAAGATCAACATTTTAAAGACAAAGTGGATGGCAGTTGGAAAGATCAATATAGATCAAGGCCTGATTTCTCTTAATGGAGAAGATATCGAAAGGGTAAAGCATTTCAAATACCTTGGCAGCTGGTTAAATGTAAATTGTGACTATGATGAAGAGATAATAACCAGGATCGAAATATCACGTAAGGCTTTTATGACCTGGAAACCAGCTTAATGCAACAGAAACCTGTCGATGAATATTCGTAAGAAAGTCCCGAAATGTTATGTGTGGTCCATCCTATTGTATGCTTGTGAGACATGGACGTTAAAAAACCACAATGCTGAACAAGTTAGAAGCATTCGAATTGTGGTGCTATAGACGAATCCTAAAGATATCGTGGGTTTCGCACACTTCCAATGAAGATGTTTTTCAAATGATCAATTCAGAACGTCTGCTCATAAACACCATAAAGAGGAGAAAAACAGAATACTTCGGCCATATAATTAGAGGACCTAAATACCATCTACTTCGCTTATAATACAAGGAAAAGTGGAAGGAAAGAGATGGATTGGTCGAAAGAAACTTTCTTGGCTGCGTAATATTAGACAATGGTTTGGTTCCACAGTAGAAGAATTATTTCCCGCAGCAGCCGACAGAGAAAGGTTTCAGGAAATTGTAGACATGATGACGGCTAACGTCTGAATACGGACACGGCACCCAAAGAAGAAGAAGATTAAAACATTACAATATTAAATCTATAGAAAATGAGTTCAAACTGACAGAGAAGAAGCAATGATCAAGTTATGAAATGATCAGAGCACAAACAACACAACTACCCTGATAATTTATTTGATCCATTTATTAGATATGATTATGTTTATTAACTTCTCTTTTTTCTTCTATTACCATAACCTTTATCAATCGTTGGATATCATGTTGGCTACCATATTCGCTATCGTGACTTTATTGACAGCAACTCTAAGTAATTATGTAGACGGTTTTCTGTACTGTAGTCTTAAATTTTTCAGTCATGATGTTTTTCTTCTACCAGAACCACGTTTATCTTGGATATTTCCCTGAATGATCAGATGTAAAAGTTCATATTTTTCAGAGAGTCTCATAATGTGACCGAAGTATTTCAGCTTGTATCAATTATTAGCCAGTTGTGTTAGTTGTGTTGTTTGGTTTAGACGCTGTAAAGTACGTTCCACATTTTTACAAAAGTGACTCGTGCTTGTTATATTCGGCTTTTAATTTCTACGGTTGTATCACAGCTGTCATTGATATTACTGCTGAGATACACGAATTTTATGAAATAACTCTTTAAGTCTAATATTCCACAAAAAATAATTTTAATTAAATAGATTAGACAATTGTACGCAACTGATATGGGAATACTTCCCATTTTAATGACAGTTCAGCATGTGGCAAAATTGTATAAAATGTTGCCGCTTTTTTAGAGTAAGAATTTTGTTTATGTTTTGATTTCTGACACAATTAAATCATAATACTCATATATTATATTTTAATAAATTGTATTTATAAATACATATTAAATTTAGATTGATAGCTTTAAAGACTAATTATACTTCTGAATTGTGTTTGTGCTATGCCAAAACAGCTGAATAGTCTGTAGAAAGCTGATAAGCTTTCATATAAGTTTTCTTATATATTTTAGTGTGTTGCAGTAGTCTTAAAACTACGTGTATTTACTGTTAATATACTATTTTGACAAATAGTTGACATTTTAACACGTTAATCGCCACGACACTCGACATTTGGGTTTCAGATCCTGTGGTCGTACACGCCCCGACACTCATGGGGTAACCTTCACTACTAACGTTAACATACAAGCCTGTAACACAACTACCGTGCTTCGAAACATATTTATCTATATGAAAGTTTTTACAGAGGGGCCTGGCAGGTAATACTAGTGAATGAGCTCGGCACTTTTCTGTGTTTACTATCATTAATGCTTTTTCAAAAAAATTGTAAGGATTTATGAAAAAACATTTTTATTTTAATCAAATAATACATAATAATGGTGAACGTCAAAAAACATGACAAACAATAAAGCTTATTACATACATCACATGAAAATTTTGATTTTGGTCCCTTCTTCACATTTTCGACGATCGTTTAAAGCAACTTTATGTAAAATAGGCTTTATTTTATCATTTTCTGGCACCTTCTAGACATCCACTTCATACATTTGTAACATACGTAGAGCAATGCTCTGTCTAAAATACATAATTGATATTTTGGCCTTTGTCAGAATATGATTTCAACTGATCGGATAGATCTATGAATGACTTACATGAATTAGAGTCAACTATAAGAGATGGCTTTTCTATGTCTGTTCCTCTTTGTGTATAGTTAGTGGCTGTGTCAGTATGAATAGTGCTGAGACAAAGAATATCACGTTTATCCTGCCATTTTAAAATAACTACCCCTGTATTACTTTCCCCTGCGTAAAACAGTCACTGTTTTATCACTTATGTCGCCGTTTAGCAGGTTTATCTGAATTTTTATTTTGTCCACAATATATTTTGATATCGTATGTATAGCCGACTTTACAACAGAGTTTATACAGTTTTATTCCGAATTTGAACCTCTCATTTTTGGTATAATGTCTGAATGACAATCTCCCTCTGAAGGGTACCA